CTGGGGTTGGGCGGCGGATACAGTAGCGGACACAAAAAAATCTATCGCTTTATGAACGCTAGCGTCTGGCACCCAGGCTAATTCTTTATAACAGTACTGAGGCTGGGTAGAGACTCCAACCTGGTAGAGTTCTATTGCTATAACTTGATAACATATCCTAAAAGATTAGTGATTGTAATGGCTGAGACTCCGATCGGGATTTCTACCGGTACCGGCAGAGACTCCAATCGGAGTTTCTATTGAGTCTTTTAAACGACAAGAAATGACTTCAATTTATTCATGTTTTTTTCCTCTCTCAATCTCTGCACCCGCAGGAGGCCAGCTAAGCCATGACGACCCTCACCTCATAGAAGAAAATCAAATTCACCGGCGAGATGGTCTAACAGACCTTTACGGAAGGGCCAAAACAGAGGTAAGTCCACACGATGTATTTGTCGTTTCTGTTGATCTGAGGAACATGTTGTTGAATTTGTAACATCTTGATTAATGAACAAACATATCTTTCAACTATTGTTTACTTCGATGTACACTTCATAGCATTCTGTAAAATCTATTGACTCCCTATTTGGCTATTTTACTAAGTTTGAATCCGCGTTGTTGTTGTGGAGACTTTGGAGATGTTTCGCCAGTCACACGTATATAGTGTTACACGTTACACAGCTGCCACCTGCATCTGCACGGTTGAGTGACAGCTAGGTTCAGACGTTCAAAACACTGATACATAGGGCCAGTTTTTCTGACCTATGGAGTTAATTGCCTGACTTAAAGAATGCGTGACAAATTGGAGATGACCTAACATGCCAGAGGGGTAATTAATCTTCAGTTGTTTTAGCCTGTTTTGGGCAGGCCGATTCAAGTCAACTATGAAATGTTCATTGCACAATGATTGCATCAGGTACATTATATGTCAAATAACATGAATTAGACATGCGATGTAATCTTAGCCAATGATTCGTCATTCATAATTGTCTGAGAGACTTTCATTAATGTTAAAATACAATTGGTTGGACGTTCCCGACAAACATCCTCGTATTTCTTCTGCAGGT